TCTTCATTGCCACTGTATAGTCTTAAATCAAGAATAACCCAGAATCAACGCAACACTGGAAACGCACCTATCACAAAATGGCTGGCTTTGAACTGTCAGACCTCACGGCTGGTGACTGAAAGTCTGAAACACAGAATGTGCATCATTCTAACTAAATATAGAATATATAGAATATAGAATATAACTAAATAACACATGAACTACGTAGGACATCACAGTAATTAGTTATGCAGTCATTTTTGTGTTATTTCTGGCAAGGTAAACAAGATGAGTGACTTATAATCCGAGCGTTGATATGCAGGGTATATTTTCATCATTTCCTTCTATCTCCTCACATCACTATAAGTAACCTATACCACATTCTGCAGTAAATTATCTAGAGAAGTTAAACTCTGTCTTGCAAAAACTTGTGAACTAGGTCTTTGTTATCCTTTGCTAGTGATGTCTTATGCATGGATGCTGCACCAATTATGAAGAAATTTGTGGCCAGTGTGTTTTTGGCTTTTCGATACCAGTATAGAGGTGGGGATGATTTTTTCATTTGATTATAATTTGATAGGGAAATCATCTATTCTTCATTCAGACTGGAAAGCTTGCAAAATTGCACTGCTGATGACAAATATCTTTCATAAAAATATGCATCTGGAAGATATTAGTGCATGGGTACATATATGCATCATCATCATCAAAGAGACTGACGCCGATGGGGCACATAGCTGCGTCCACTCTTCACTTCCAGCTTTGGGGGTCCCTCATTGTGAGACACCAGGCAGGGCCTCAGCTCATCTCTAGTTCTTCACAACAGGACTGGTCAAGCTGCCCAAGCCATGACTATCTAGGTCTTCAAACATAAATCTCTAGACTGGACGATTTGCTTTGTATTCCCATATAGTCTAATGATTTTCATCTTGTCTTTAATATAATGAAATGTAACAACTTTGCAGCTACAGGAGCACTGATATAATTTTTTATTATGTGGCTGCCATCCTGTGGTCAGCCCTTGTAACATGCCCTCCCATTTTGCTGGAGATCACTTGCATGTAAACTGCGAGATGTGTTTTCATGAAAGTTTGTCATGAGAATAATCTTTTGTAAATACCACACTTGCCTGTGTCTCCTACTTGCCACCTGTCACCTATTAGCACAAACACAGTCATCTTATCTGGAAAACAAGGTCATATTAGGAAGACCAGTAAACCTTCTAATTCATTCTTATTTAATGTTATTTGACATCAAATATGGAAGCAGTCCAAGCTTTCTTGCCAGAGTAAATATGGTGGAGTAGAAAAGAAGCACTTATATGATTGGTTCAGGAAACAAATGGGTACCAAGGGAATTGGAGGAAGGGGGGTGTTTGCAGGCTGTTCTATATGCCATACATTATGAGAATTTTTATCTTACATTTATGGTTTTATACCATAATAATTCACAAGAGGAAGAGATGAAGGAACAAAACAAGGAGTGGAAATGGTTTAGGTTTGGGTGAGTGTAGCTGGAAGAAACTTGCTAAACAGTACTAGAATTACTTCCTCATGCTTCCTACCTTCCATTGACAGAAAAAGAAGTATGGAAAAATAGCCTGCTAGTTTTTGAGCGGTTCTGCCCTATCCTACATGACCATATGATTCCCATTTCCATAAATATTTTGGAAAAATGTTTCTGATGCTATTAACTTTGATACTGTTGGTGTTATTACTATCATTTTGATTATTATAATTTTGTTAACAATACTAATAGCAATATGAAATTGGGTGGTATATTTCCAGATATCAAGGAAACAGGTAAGCAGGTGAGGTAGGTAGGTCTACTAGTTAACTCCTTGGTAAGTACTTGTTCAACTATCTATGAGTAAACACAATTAAACTGTTGGGTCCAGGTGACCTGGAGATCTTGTTATAAGTCATGAGTGCAAAAACCACTGACCTCCAGGAACAGATTCATTTGTGATTGCTGGCAAGATTTCTACGAGAATTAAGTTAACCATTCATCAGCCATGCCTGGGAGAGGGCTGCTTGTACACCCAACAACAAAAGCGGTGATGCCTCGCCAGACCTGGCTCGGAGAGATCATGTTGTCCTTGCCCTGAAAGGAGGCCCACATTCAAACTACCAAGACATAGTTAGGATGGTTCGAATGTGAGGAGGAGGGAAAAGTACAGAAATCAGGGAAAGAAGTACTATCATGACTGAAATATATATAGAGATAGAGTGAGGGATCGCTTTTGTTCCTGTTGACTTGTTGATTTGACAAATATTTTGGACCTGCCTTAAGAAATAAGTTAGCGTATATCATTTCAAAAATAATTATCATGAAATTTTATCACATAGTTTTATTTTACTTCCTTATCATATTCTTTATATAAAAATTCTTAAACATTATTGGAAATTAATATTCGTCAGACGGAAATATCCTTCACTTGCATTATCCCAGAACCATATGTTAATATATAGCAATGCATTATCCTAAGCAACTGCTCTATCTCTCTCTCTCTCACTCTCCTCTGTCTTATATCAATTGAATCCACTGTTTAGATAATGGTAAACTTTTGATATGTTATTTGGAAAATAGAATAATACTCATGACAAAATTTCATACGCCATTATATTTTCCAAATGTTGACAATTAATTCATTGCCATAAATAAAGAAATGAATATGTACAAGACGGATTGAACAGATGATACCGAAAGTCATGGGTTTCCTGAATAGTTTGAAGGTGGTGCACTGAGACGACTAATAAAGGTGTAAGAATAAGTAGAATCAAGGCTGAGGGAATATTCCTTTAACCTTAGGTAGAGTGAAGCTCGACACGGCCCTTCACGGGGTGAGTGAAGAAGCATGAGCCAGGAAAGGGGTTCGCTGGAAAATGACTAATCTGTTTAGGTCTAAAGACTGTTACCTAATACTTTGACACTAAATGATATATTAAAAGTATGAGTTTCGCAGTACCTATATCCTATATACCCCACTATCAATATATTAATGCACCACTGTACACATTCACTGCATTTCATTTTACTTCATATATTTTCACCAACTGTTTTGGAAACAATATAATGAATTAGGTTTACTGATGATGCATTTTAAATTGATTTGTATCTCAAACTTTAAACTGATCTAATCAATATAAATACTTTTTTATATGTATATGATTGATATAAACGATATAAATACTTTTTATAAGTATATTATTGCGTGGGGGGGAGACAAGTGGCCCATCACACCTAAGCTGACCCCAACCAAACCGTGCTTCACGATTCATGAACACGTCTGGAGGTCGTGGTTCATAGGAGGCACCCAAACGAAATAAAAGGAAAACACAGGAATCGATACCTAAACCTTTACACCCAATTATCCTCGAAGTTTTGTGGCCAAAACCATTTATCAAAAGGCGCTTTTTGAGATGGTACATTATTCACACTCACAAATATTACACACACACTGTGTGTTTGTGTGTGTGAGAGAGAGAGAGACGGGTGGGAGGGCGCTAGCCTTAATAGGATGGGACTGAAATATGGCAGACACTCACTCCTTGCTTTGCCTAGCAAATTCAGACCCCCCCCCCCCCTTCCCAACTATGTCCAGGTTGTTTGAATGAGGGCCACCTTTCAGGGCAAGAAGGGCAAGATCTCCAAGCCAGGTCTGGAGAGGCATCACTGTTTTTGTTGTTGGGTGTTCAAACAGTGTCCTGTCTATTACGGAAAATTCAATGATACAAAATTATATAAGATAAAGCAAATAAAACAGTTTCTAATTTTTTACTATTTTTACACTGGTTGAACTACTTGAGATGATATGGAGTTAGCTCAATAAATATCTTGCTTAAACATAACAGATGACAAATGTAAACCTTCGAAAATAGTCAAACAGCAAAAAAGGGTTCCAGAAACCTTCTGTATCTAGTAGTTTGAAGGTCAATTATTTTTGGCTACTCTAGGCATAGGATATCCTGTGTAGCAAGGAATGAGAAATGGTATAGTTAGCTTTTATATTTCCTCTTGTTTACCTTCATTTTGGCTATACTCTTTAAACTCTTGGAAAGCATTGCAAACATTAATTTATAATCATACTGATCAGTAACAGTGACATGTTGTGAGATGACTTTTGTGTTAGTTGGAAGATTTTGCTTAGAAGTGAAACTTTAACTGGAAGATTACCCTATTTTTAACATTTTTATATTTGATATATTACTGTTATTTTTATATTGTTGTTACTATTATTATTCCACCATGACATATCCATAGAGAAATTTTCAAATAAAAAAGGAGGGAAGAAAAAAAAAGACAAACATCATTTGACAGTTCTTCACTTTTCTTTCAGATATGAAATATGCCTAAGCTGGAAACAAGAGCCACTGGGCGACCAAGCATTCACGATGACAAGACTGGAAGGTCACCACGTAATAAAACACCCCAGTCTTCCTCAGCCACAGGAAGGTCCCCACGAGTGACGAGGAGTGCAAAAGAGAACCAGTCACCAATCCGCAAAAATAAGGTTTGGTCTCTCTCTCTCTCTCTCTCTCTCTCTCTCTCTCTCTCTCTCTCTCTCTCTCCTCTCTCTCTCTCTCTCTCTCTCCTCTCTCTCTCTCTCCTCTCTCTTCATCTCTCTCTCTCCTCTCCTCTCCTCTCCTCTCCTCTCCTCTCCTCTCCTCTCTCCTCTCTCCTCTTGCTCCTCTCTCCTCCTCTCCCTTCTCCTCTCTACTCTCTTCTCCTCTCTCTGTCCTCTCTTCTCCTCTCTTCCTCTGTCTGTCTGGTCCTCTCTCATCTCCGTTCTCTTCTCGTCTCTGTCCTCGTCCCCTCTCCTCTCTCCTCTTCTCTCTCTCTCTCATCCATCTCTCTCTCTCTCTCTCTCGTCTCTCTCTCTCTCTCTCTCTCTTCCTCTCTCTCTCTCTCTCTTCCTCCTCACCTCTCCTCAGTCTCCTTCGTCTCCTCAGTCTCTCTACTCGCTCACTCTTCTCCCCGCTCTCCTCTCTCTCTTTCGTCTCGTGTGCTGCCTCTCTCTTTCTCTCTCATTCTCGTCGTGTCTCGTCTTCATCATCTCGCTCTCATCATCCTCCATCCTCAGCTCTCTCTCTCGTCTTCTCATCACGTCCTCTAACCCCGACAGTTTCTTTCCATTAGCCTGTCTGAACTGGCGCTGCTTCCACAGTTCTAACTCTGGTCTCTGATATGAGAATCCTGTCCCTCCCTTATCCTCTCTCTGTCACACTATCCCGCTCCTTATTCCCCGCTCCGTATATCTTCTACATCTCTCTCTCCCCATCGGAACATCATCCGAATATCCCGTCATCTCCAAAAAAAAAATAAACCTCCTCACAGCGACAAGGCGCTCCTCTCCACCATTGCCCTTTTTATCCGAGAGCCGGCCAACCCTGAATATCCTGTCTCTAGGCCGATCTAATAAATACCCAACAGCCCTCTTTCACTCTCTCTCGACATCCACTGTACTCGGCCACTCGGCATCATTTTCCTCCAAACACCTCTCGCTTAGTTACACAACAACACAACCGGGCCTCTGCTCCGTCATTCTCCGTCTTTCGTCCTCGTATAACGGCTGCTGCTCTCTCCTCTTCTCTCTCGTTGGCTACTCATTCACAGCCAGTCATTCGAGTCGTTCTCTCTCTGCTTCTCAGACGAATACCACGTCAGCTCTCTCCCCGACCCGGGGGCGAGAAGTCCTACTCACCCATCCGCCCGTCCATATATCTTTCTTTCCTCACTTCTCTGCTCGTGGTTCTCCCCGCTCTCCTCGTCTCGCTTTTCCCTCATCGTCTTCTCGTCTTCTCTACCTCTTTCTCTTCTTCTCTCTCCCTTCCTCCTCGTCTCTCTTCGCCGATCTCGGTACTCTCTCTCCTCTCCCTCTTTTCTCTTCTCATTCCTCACCCTCTTCTCCCCTTACTTCCCCCCCCTTATCTATCCTCCCACTCCCCAATCATCGCATACCGCTCTGCTCTCCTTTCCCTGTCACACTTCCTCCCTTCATATCTATCGCTCCTCTTCTTGGCTGCCCCTCCCATCTTTTTTGTCTCCCTTCCTTGTTTCCTTCTTCCTTTTTCCTTTGCTTGTAAATATCAGATAACTTTTTTTTTTTAATTGGTCTTTCTCTTCCTCCATAGCAGTCAAGAGATGACCAAAGCAGCGATGAAGGGGACCTGGATGAGGTGGACCGCAGCACGAGCATGTACCCTGATCTATCTCCATTTTCATCATCCACATCAGGTTCCCCCCAGGCATGGAACCCGGACGATAATGAAGGACACACTCTCAATGATACATTCTACAGTACACGTTCACAGTTCCACCACCGATCAGTGCAAAAGAGCCCAGATAAAGGGTGTCTGAATAGGGACAGGCCTGTGACTCCAGAGCAAGGAGCACAGGGACGTAGGGTCATTAGAGGAGGAGGAGGAGAATTGGGAGACAGGGACAGGATCCGTGCCAGGAGGGGCCCTGCACCCTTACTAATCTTAGGCTTTAGCTTTCTCTTTGTCTTTGCTGTGCTAAGGCTGAAGCAGAGCTTGGACGAAGTGCATGAGCTGTCTGAGCAAAAAACCTATGTCAAGCCAATAGAAGAGGTCTACAGCGAATTCAAACAGGACCTCAAATACTTCATCAATAAGTTCTCACAGGAGAAGAAAGTATGGGTCCAGTTGATAGGACAGATTGAAAGCATCATGGTTAAGTCACCTGTACAACCAGCAGTATTGTTAGTGGTTGTCCCTGAAGATGCCAGAGGGACAGCGACCTGCCTCATCTATACTATTGCACACCTGCTCAATAAAGCCTTTGATGGTGAGTTAAGGCACCAGCTTCTTTTTTTATGATGTTCCTATGTAGATTTTTTTTTTTTTCTTTTTTTTTTTTTTTTTTTTTTTTTTTGTTTTTTTTTTTTTTTTTTTTTTTTTTTTTTTTTTTTTTTTTTTTTGGGATATACAATCTTTTGGATTATTATTATGATATAATCCATTTGATTATTTTCATCATCATCATCATCCAGCTTTTAGCTAGGATTTCAGCATAGGGTTGCCACTTTATTTCCCACACATTATCTGGCTATGCTGCAAGTGCCACAGGCATGGATATTGTATTATTGAACTTCATAACTCTCTGAGACACTATTTCCTGCATTTTGAGGTGCTAATTTTGTGGAATACAGCCATGTTCTTTTATCTCTGTTACATTATTTTTGCCCTGAGACTGGGAGAAGGTACATGTATGTTTGCGTGTCAGGAGGTGGGATAGACCAGATAATTTTTAAGTAATGTTATGATTACACTGATTGATACATGATATATGATATATTTCATAAGTTAATGAATAAGAACAGTGAGTATGACTGACGGTTGTATTGTGGTAATGTTTTTGTTGTTTTTTCCATGGTTCATCAACAGTTATTGCCACCTAAGATGCAAAAAAAAAAAATCCAAAATGCCTCCAAAATACTCCTATAGTTATCAAGCTTTCTGTCACTTTTGTAAACATTATGAAAAATTTCAAGCTTATATGCACTTCCAATGAAAAAGGTTAAAGAGATGCCAGGTATCCCACCAATAACAGCACCTGGCCATGCCACATCATAGAAAATCAACCAATGTTATGTGAGTGTCATGATTCGCGAGATGTAATGTAAACGTGATAGCATGAGGTTTCATCGCAAAATAGACATAGCAGCAGTAAATTGACAGGCAAAGCAACAAAGTGATTGGAATCAGCGAATTTTTATTACATTCAGCGAAGTTACTAGGAAAAATGGGATGAAAATATTGGGGCATCTTTAGGACATCTTGTGTGAAAGTAGGGTGTAAAGTTTTTTTTTTTTTTTTTTTTTTTTTTTTTTTTTTTTTTTTTTTTTTTTTCTTTTTTTTTTTTTTTTTTTTTTTTTTTTTGTGGATGCCCCCTAAACAAGGTTATCTTATTTATAGCGTATTTTATTCTTCGATGTCTTGGGTATTATTATTAATATTTATTTTATTATTATTATTTTATTTTTATATTATTATTTATATTATATTGATTTTTATTCTAATTATTTATTATATTATTTTCTATTATTATATTATTATTATTATTATTAATTATATTATCATATTTTTGTTTACCTTTTTTTTTATTATAATTATATAATTATATTTTTTATTATTTTTATTATTTAATCCTTTATTATTTATATTATTATTGTTAGTATTGGTTCTGTTTTATATAATATTTGTTATCATTTTTTTGGTTTGGATTTTTATTTTTGGTTATTCGATTATTGTTGGGTGATTTTATTATATTTATTTGATTTTCTATATCATGGTTATCATTTTAATTGGGATATTGTTTTAATTATAGTTTTCCAAGTTTAATGTTTGTTTTAGTGTTCGATATTTATTATTCTATTGGTTAATTATTGTCCTTTACCCATATTATTATTCGGTGCCTTGACTAATATTTTGATTCAGTAAGTATCTTTATATTAGATGTCGGTGTGTTTAGGTCGGTTACCATGCCGCCACCGACATACTCGTCAATTAATCACATCTAAATTTACTTTATGTGGGCGGTCCGTCCCCATTACACACTCTCTTGTTCCTTTCTCCACTTTGTGAGATGCAGCACAAGATTTCAGTATAGTATGGCACCAAAACCAGAACGGCCTGGAGCCATCTTCCTCACCTCAGTGAGAAAAGTGAATTGACAGATATGACACTCTCAGGGCTTTTCTCTCCAACGAACACAGAATTCATACGTACGGTA